GATAGTTTAATGCATTTCTAAAGTGCTCAGCCCTTTGATAGCTGACTTACTGTTCAGAGAGATTTGCCATCTGCACTGAGTACAGTTGAGTTGCCATGTGGGGTTGTGCAATAGTTCTGTCTAGCTCATTGGATTTGTACTTGATATTGCCAGGACTAGTCACGGATGGAGTATATGTACTGATTATTATTCGTTATTTAGAATCAGCAAAGTACTATGAGTCAATTGTTTATGACCTTAAGAAGATTATTCAAATATTTGGCAATATCAGAGCATATAGAAACTGGGCTAATGATGCACCACTGAATGCACTCTTGCAAAGGTGGACATTGAATTTTGGTCTAAAATAATCTTTCTTCAAATTGACCTCGACAAATTGACCCTACTTTTTGTCAGGGATCAAAGTCCAAAGTAATTCAGAAACCATGTATATTTCTGGAGATATTAATGATTCTATATAATTGAGTGTAGAAATACTAATAAAATGGGTACTAATAAGTAAATACTTAAAACAAAATTTTCAAGTTATCAAACTATGAATGTTAAATTTGAAAATGCATTCATTGATGCAGCAGTTTATTGAACATCTTCTACGGTGTGAGTACAAAGTTGAACATCACTGTTTGAAAAACAATGCTATTACGATGCACAGTCACATTTACCACACGAGGACTTAGTAGAAAGCTTTTAAAGTGCAATTATCACAATAGGAGTTTTAGATAATGACCTAGATAATCATTGCAACTGCAATTCAGCAAGACTCAAATGTTGAAAATAAGCCTCTGAATTGATATTAATAGTAGTAATCGTAACTTATTGCTACATGTATATATGCAATTACAGTCAAATGTGTGTAAGTCGCCATAAGCAAGCACCACCTTAATTAGATAAATTATAAAAAGAAATAAATCATACAAAGTTAGGACAAATTTCATTTTTGTGCCACACTCCACAGCCGCTAAACCATTCCCTCTGGACTCAACAACAAGGAGGAAGCAGCCCCTGCCACCTCTGACCAGACCCACAATATCATTTCTACTGATACTACAGTTGCCACCATAGCCAGGAGACTGTCCTACCTCTTGAGGACTGGGGCCCACCTCCAGTTCCGAGAACCGATTGACCGTCCAAATTAACTCTCAAGATCATTCACTCTGCCCCTGTTGTAGATGCCTCCAAAACATCAGATGAAAAGAACGGACCTCAATTCATCAACATTGGAACAGTTGCTCAAGCGCAATCGCCATGGCCATCAGGAATGGATCAGATCCGTCACTCGATAACTCCCCGCAACCTCTCTCCATCACCACAGCCACAGAAAGAAGAAAAAATGAATTTGATTAAAAAGTGAGATGAAGGAAAATAAGATAAAATAATAAAAAGAAAGAGGGATGCGGTCAGTCATGCAAGAGGGAGTGGATGGGCTGTGACCCCAAAAACCACCTACCCTGCTGCCTCCACCATCTTGAATAGATTTTGAAAGGATGGACAGAATTCAGTGAAAGTACACATGAAGAACAGAAACCATTCTATAATCCTTACAAAGAGGAGTATTATACAAGTTGGTATCACTTGAGGTCACTTTACCTGGTGAAGGAGCAGCTGTCCGAAAACTTGTGATTTCAAATAAATCTTTTGGACTATAACCCGGTGTCGTGTGACTTCTGACTTCCAGTCCAACACTGGAACCTCCACATCAAGGTCACAAAGTGGCAGTAGCCAGTTCTTCAAAAGATAAGATTTTTGTAGAACTCACTAAACACACAGGTGTAGACAGTATGAAATCCATAACAACAGAACTTGTTCATTGCCTAGTTTAGACAGTGATCTAGAATTATTAGTAAGCAAATGTATTATCTGCCATATCTAGTGTCCTTCTGCAGTTGTGGTCATTTGAAAATAATTCATTCAGACTTGTGTGAAAAGGAAAACAAAAATACTTATTGATAGCTTCTCTAAGTGGATTAATAAAGCACTTGGGTCGAAAAACCAACACTAACTGAACCAAGTAACCATCTACTTTTGCTTGTTCTAAGGGGATTTTGCTGTAACGTGATAGTTGCATTCCTGCGCAACATCTCGTTATAGAAAATCACGCTGTACAAATAACAGGGCCTATGGGAAAAGTCGGGTTCGGGGCAGCCCACCAAAAAATCACTCAAAATCTGTCAAAAATCACTCAAAAGCCTAACACAAAGGATGGTTTGAATAAATGTTCAATTCATATCTAATAATGAAATAAAAGTAAATTTGACATCTTATTTTGAAAAAATGTCAAGATGACTTGATGGGGGAGGAGGTTTTGAGTTGCTCTGTTGTTAATGCAGGGACTGAGGGTCATCATCATCATCATCATCACCTTCAGGTGCAGTTATGGTTGCAGGGTTAGGGCAAAAAATTGTTAATTCAGAGGTGGATGGCTGTGGTTCATAGTCTTATGAATAAAAAATGAAAGAACTGCAGATGCTATAAATCAGGAACAAAAACAGAAGTTGCTGGAAAAGCTTAGCATGTCTGGCAGCATCTATGAAGAAAAAATCAGAGTTAACGTTTCGGGTCAGTTCTGAGGAAGGGTCACTGAACCCGAAATGTTAACTCTGATTTTTTCTTCACAGATGCTGTCAGACCTGCTGAGCTTTTCCAGCAACTTCTGTTTACATTCATTGTCTTCTGTTTCTTGTGTGTTGGCTTGAAAAAGACATCCAGTTTTTGCTGCTTAGCCCTTTTTCTTCTTTCTTGAAGAAGCTGTTCATAGGGTGTCAAATAAGATCTTATTCCACAAACTGCTACCCTGCTGCATTCTACATTGTAATTGTTGTCCTCTTAGATCTAAAACTGCTTCTCAATTTCCCTCAGGATAGAAGACAAAACAGAAGTGGAAAGCTCTCGTGGTGCTGCATCCTGGACTACTTCTTCTTCATTTCCGGCTTCCAAATCCCCCTCAGTGACAAGTTGTTGTAGATCTGCTACACAGAGGTCTTCACAGTGGGACTCAAGTAGCTCTTCAACATCCTCACTCTTCACTTCTTCAAATCCAACTTGCTTTGCAAGATCAACACAATGTTCTTTGATTCTTGGGAGCTCCTCTGATGGATCAAAGGTTTTAAATCTTGAAAAAAATCTGGAAGAAGCTTCCACCAAACTGCATGCAAGCACTCCTTACTAACACCACCCAGGCCTCTACGATAATGTCAATTGCATTTTTTATGTTAAAGCTCTTTCAAAATTGAAGAATACTGTCCTTATCACTCTTAGTGGCTGCAATCAGCCTCTTAAATGTGTGCCTTAAATAATAAGCTTTAAAAACTGCTGTTGCACCCTGGTCCATGGGTTGAAGGAGAGAGGTTGGAATTGATGGAATTGTGTTATAGTCAACGCAAGTTGGCATTTTAGAAATAGCTCTCCCATATTCGTCAATTGCATTTTGGCAGTTCGTATTACTGGAACGTGCATTATAGCAGAACACTCTGTACCTGAAGGTTTTGTCTCAGTGTTTGGTCCTCAATTTGTTCTGTCTCAGCCAAATATTCCATAAAGCAAAATTGCATCAAACACAGCTCGTTCCTGTTTCTCATTCAAGAAAATAGCTGAAAGATTTGTCAGGATAGTAAAAGGTACACATAACTAAGAAGCAAGTGCTGCATGCATGGGTGTCCAAGATTTAGTATGAAACAATGGCTTGATAATTTTCTGATAAAATATAGAACAATTGTGTACAATAGACCAGCTGAGATTTTTAAGAGACGTTTAAGGATACATTTGAGTCTGTCCAACCAGCCTCAGCTGTTATAGACGAACACAAAAGTTCAGTCAAAGTTGTCAATATGACAGTTTCAAGCAAAATGGACATAATTGAGGTTTGACTCCACATTTAAGTCACGTAAGTGGGATGTGGGAACTGCAGCATTTGTGTATACAATGAAAAGGCATTTGGATAAAATTAATGGAAAGATGCGAAAAATTCATATAGATCACATGATCCGGGCAAGGGATGAACCAAAAGATAAGCATAATTTCAAACTCATGCCAGAACTTGAACCTTCACTGCTGAAGTACCACTTTCCAAGAAATAGGATTTTCTGAGTACTGAACCAAAAGCAAATAGTTCAAAGCTTGACTTCACACCAAAAGATCAGAAAACTAAACTTAACTTGTAGATGTAGTGAGCCTGTAGTAATAATGCCAAATGTGAACATTCATAAAGATGAGCTTATTTGTATGTGACTACTATGGTCACACAATTAGTGAAACAGGAAATAGTTGAAGGAAATATATTGTTATTGAGACATGTCTTCTTTATGATAACACATCTACCAGTCATTCCACTTGCCAACAACTCAGCACTCTCCTGTCATGCAGTATTAATATCAGTTTTCCTCTTGAATTGGTACCCTTGAGAATTGTCCTGATGAGTGGGCAAGACGAAAAGCACCAACAGCATATATTTTTTTGGTAATATTCAACGCAATAGATAAATCCCACAACTGATCATCTTACTTTTTGGCCAAATTACTGGCTAGGTAAAGCATCTAAATTTATATCGTGACGGGTGCGTATGGTAGGACCAGAAAGCAAGTGCACATTCCAACCGTGGTCATTACAAGACATAGACATTTACTTGGAAACATGCTAGTGAGTTGCTATTAATTTTAAGTGCAGATCTAAGCAGTTGAAATAGCAACTAGAAACACATTAATTAATGTTTTTAAATATATAGGGGTAAAACTTGCAATACTTCACATGTCTAGGATGACATGTTTTCAAAAATCCATTGTTCTTTACAGAACCTACTGTCTTCTGAACATGTAAAATGATGGAAAGGTTTGTTATACTGAATTTTTTTAAAAAATTACTCAGAAAAGGAAACAGGTTAACGTACGACTTTAATCCTACACCAAAATACTACTACGTGCACTATACAATGACTCAATAATATCACACTTGACTGTCTATTCATCACAATCTCTACAAGAGCCACACTCCATCTATTTCCGTTTCCGGTTCTAGTAAGTTCCTTTTGCAACGTCATCCCTTAATAGAGAGAAGAGTGTGAAACGCCACAAGTCAGCTGGATAAGTTTTTGAGAAACAAATATTATTTTTAAAATGATACGGCGACTGTCCGGCTCTGAGAGGTATTGTTTCAATATTTGACGGCCTTCCTGTTTTTTTGTGTGTGTGTGAGCAGATTACCCATGGTGCCGTGGTGCAATGAGGAAGCGGCCGTTGGCTGACAGACAGCTCGAGGATGGCGGAGAACGCGGAGCTGTGTTCTAGAACTGGAACCAGAATCATCCGGGTTACTGTCAAGACTCCTAAAGACAAAGAGGAATTCGAGCTGGCGCAGGACTGCACCGTTAAAGAGGTGAGTGCGTTAGGGACCCGCACCGGCTAACACTTTCCCTCATCGCACTGTGTCATCGCTAGTAGGAGCCGGGGATAAAGCATCTCATGCGGCCCGGTGGCCACCCTTAGTCGTGTCCCGAGCTTTTCTGGCTGAGCTCAGATAAGACTGGAACGATTCCTCTAAATGTTCGGGCACTGCTGTGTCACCCCAGGCTTTTAGACATCGCCACATCATCAGCCTGAGCAGTTTAACGTTTAGCAGTCGAGGTGGTTTCTGGAGTACTCAGCAAGTTAATGTTGAGCGTTAGTTGTAATTTTTGACGTACGCAGCATTGTGAGCAGGAATTTGCGAAGATTCCCAGGTGTGATGTTGGGCTGGGTGCTAGTCATTGTAGTTCTAACCTGTTTCAGATTTCAAATCCAAGTGAGTGTGTACCGTCGTCACCCACACGTTTTATTCATACGTTGTGGTTAGTCTTCGCACAAGCTACTCGCGTAAATCATTTTTGCTGAGCCATATTATTGCTTTAGAGTTTGCCCTCAGGTATTGCGATTGATTTTTTTTTTATTTCCAAAGTGTTTCTTATTACTTTGGCTTTGAGATGTCTTTAATGCAACTGTGCAATTCAGTGTTGAGGGTATGAAGGCAATTGAAAAGAATTGAGATTTTATAAAATAAATTTTGTGGATTTATGTGGACCAGGTTACAGAGGGCACGGATGTGGTGGCTAAAAGGATAGTCATCTAAGGCATAGCAATAGGAGTGCAGAATGTACTCTTCAGGATGCACACGGTCTTTCATTGTGACAGTAGTGATTAGGTGTTGTGAAACTGGAAAAAATTGGAAGCGATTATCTTAACTCGATCCGCTCGGGTAGAGCAGCTGCTTGGTGTGGATTGAAAATATTTAGAGTATTTTGTTTTAGAAGCTATTTGTTCCTCCAGTATTGAACATTGTAAACAAGCATGACTTGATTTGTTTGTGTTTTGCTAATTTGTATTGGTTATTATTGGAATGATTTCTCTTTCTCTTTGCTTGTATAGATGATTCATTCTTTGAAATGATCGTCTGGTACCCAAAAGCAGTGATAATATTATCACTGGTTTAAATAGAATTTGCTTCAGCTTTGTTTTCAGTTTGTAATTTGGGCTTTGCTTCCTTTGATAATGGAATATAGATGGGACATGTCCAATACCTGTAAGATAAACAGTTACTTTTTAATTAGCCACTGGTTTGAACTGTTTGCCATCATTTGAGAATTTTCTTCAGATTTTAAGGTGTGTTTTCCAGCTGGGGTCGCAGGACATTAGAGATCATAACAGTATCTCAGGAGCTCCTCCAAGATGACCAAAGTACTCAGTTTTGTTGTAACCAATAAATCATGTATAAAACAGCTATGACATTGAGCCACATAGGATGATATGTCAGATAGCTAAAGATAAATCAGAGATGGGTTTTAAGAAGTGTCTTGGGGCAGGAAAGTGAAATGGAGAAGTGTGATTCAGAATTCTAGAGCTTGAGGCTAAGGCAGCAGAAGACGCAGCCACCAATGGTAGCAGCATTGTAACTGTGAATACAAAAAACCCAGCAAGTATGTGAAGGACAAATGACTATGAAGGGATTTGAAAACAAGGTTGTGAATTACGTAGTCACGATGTTGTTTCTCTGGGAGCCACTTTAGGTTGGCAAATAGAGGGTCAAAGGGGTTTGCTGCAAGTTAAGACACAATCCAGCAGAGATTTGGATGGCCTCGGGCTTACGGAGAATGGAATGTGGGAGATTAGTTAGCAGTCCTTTGGAAAGATGGTGTGAAACCTGAAAGGGTTCAGAAAAGATCTACAAAGATGTTGCCACGGTTGGAGGGTTTGAACTAAAGAGAGAAGTTGGATAAGCTGGGGCTATTTTCCCTGGAGCATCGGAGGCTGAGGGGTGACCTTAAAGAGGTTGAAAAAAATCATGAGGGGAATGAATAGTGTAAATAGGCAAGGTCTTTTCCCAGGGGTGGGGGAAGTTTAAGGTGAGAGGAGAAGGATATAAGAGAAACCTAAGGGGCAACTTTTTTCACGCAGAGGGTAGTGTGTGTATGGAATGAGCTGCCAGAGGAAGTGGTGGAGGCAGGTACAATTACAACATTTAAAAGGCATTTGGATGGGTACATGAATAGGAAGGGGTTAGAGGGATATAGGCCAAATGCTGGCAAATGGCACTAGATTTAGATAAGATATTTTGTTGGCATAGACGAGTTGGACCGAAGGGTCTATTTCTATGCTGTCTATCTCTATGACTTTAATGTGTTAAGGTAGTTGATTCTACAGGTAAAATGACATGGAAGAGAATTTCAATAGCAGATGAACTGAGAAAGGGCCAAAAGCAGACCGGTTACAAGCACTGTTTCTATTTCCTTGTATTGCTGGAATAGTCTTTTTTTTAAAGCTGTAAATAAATCTGGAATGTTAATAAATTTAAAAGGACTAGCAGAATAGATTGCAAAATCACTGCTAGAGGTTCCGAATCAGTGTGTTAAGGTTCTTGAGTAATGCAATGAAATTGCTGTTGGCATTGTTGTACATTTTGCATTTAACCTTGATTGATTGCAAGTAATATTATTCAATTCCCTAGGATGTATTTATATGTTTAATTGGATGTCAGATTTAAATGGCAACCATATGTATTGTTTGGAAGCTGGCTGAATCGGTTTGATGGCTATTCCTTCTAGAGAATGTTTTTATCAGTACAATATATGAAATAATATAAAATATTTTGATACACTAGAATATTTCAAAGAAGGGTAATACCCAAAATGTTGACTGCTACTTGGCCTGCTGTGTTCTTCTAGCCTCCTGTTTGTCCACCAATAGAATTTGTTTGCCGTAGTTACTGTTTCAAAATTTATCTTCAGTTGTAATGGCAACTTGTGTTTTATTGATTCGACAACATTTGATAAATCTTCAACTTTTTATAATAGTTATAAAATACATTTTGAAGTAGTTTTATGATTTGTATTTCTGCGAGCAATACGCATGTCAGCATTCAGAACAGCTTTGAAGAAGGATCACTGGACCCGAAACATTGACTCTGCTTTCTCTCCACAGATGCTGCCGTATCTGCTGAGTTTCTCCAGCAATTTGTTTTTGTTTCAGATTTTGAGTATTCGCAGATCTTTTGTCGTTTGTTTTATGACACTTTTTAAATAGATGAGCCCAAATGTAAATTAATAGTTTTTGTTATGCAGTTGTGCAGTATTTTTGAGAATATATCTTTCCTGACTGAGATGACAAATGTCTAATGTTGAAGTGCACGTGAAAATTGTTTGGGTTTTAAATTATCTTATGACATGTGCCCAGTGTATTTGCTATTTTGGGGAACATTTAGATTGCTCAGTTTAAGAATAATATGGATTGTACTTGTATTCGGGCAGAATCTGAATTTAGTTCATTAATGAATCATGTCATCTTTGAATATTGTCTTAGTCCTGTATGTTGGGTGCTTTTAAAATACATTTTAATGTGTGACCAATGTCACATTTACATTTAATTGTAGATCCATAAATTTATGGTTTGGAACATCTGCATAATTTACTTCTCAGAAATAAAAAACTACATGTGGTAAGTAGGTGCACATCATCAGTGCTTCAGCAATTGAACAATTAGGCAGAAACATTGGGAGGTTGTTTTGCTCAGTTGGCCAGATGGTTCATGTGATGTAGAATCATGCCACTGATGAGGGTTCAATCTCCATACCAGCTTTGGTACTTCACGGAGACCTGCTTCCTCACTGTGCTGCAGGATTGATGCTCCTCACTCTCTATGTATAACTATATATATTTCCGTGGGATTGAGTGGGATGTCTGTGGTATTTTGGTACACTGCAGATGATTACCTGATTTCAGATCTCAGTGTAGGGATTGCCATTTAAATGCCCAAGTGCTTACTGTAAAAGCAAATTGTTATGCTATGCAAATTGAATTAGGCCATGCATGCAATTTTGCATTATGCAACATGGGATTATTCTTGGGCCGTTGGTCTGCTGTTGCTGTAACCAGAAGAATGTTTGTTTCTGTTCAAATATAGAAAGTGAAATGACTTACTTAATGTCATTATGAATTATTTTTAAGACTATACACTAAAGATATACTGAATAGCTGAAGATTTAAACCCTAACTGTCCAAGCCTCCTTTTGCTTGCACATTCATTGCTGTGCTGATTATTGTGTCAATAACTGGAATACCAAAAGTAGTTTGTGACTCAGCTGTTGTCTATGTCTAAGAATATGAACAATTACTTGCATGACACCTGTGATCTTAACAATGTGTGCAGAGCTCTGTGCTACAACGAACATTTTAAGTGTGCACTAAATATTGCATGTTGTAACCTAATTCCAGATAAGATAGTACTGTACATGCAGCTACTTTTCAGTTGGTAGTGCATGTTTAGTCAAACTGTACAATTTGTTGATTTGCTTCAGTCTTTCAGTAAACATGGAATCCTGAAAAGTAGAACAATCAAAAGGGAGTTATTGTTAACACGAAGAGCTCGGGAACTTTGTTTTCAAATGAATTTGTTGAAATCTTGTAGACTTTGCAGGAAATAAAGAAAATAATTCACTGTGTTAAGAGAATTTGAGCGTGAAAGGTTATGAAGGAAAGATAAAAAGTAAAATTACCTTACAGACTCTACACAAATGCAATTAAAAATAATTTTGTTTCTCATACAATTATGTACTAACGTTGAAAAACCCATTTGGCAAGTATTCCTAGAATTTGCTTACTGTACATGAGGCTGTGTGTGTCTGTATCAGCCACCCAGCCTAATCCAACATTTCAGCTCTAGATTCACAGCCTTGTAGTATGGCACTTCAACTGCATATCCCCAATCCTTTTTAAATGGCATGAGGGTTTCTTCAGGCACTGAGTTCTGGATCCCTGTCAGCCTCTGGATGAAAATGATTTTTTTCACAAATTTCCTCTAAAACCGCTACCTCTGTCTAAATCTATGCTCCCTTGTCATGAAACTGTCAACCAAAGGATGCATATGTATAAACACATGAATCAGAAACAACAGGTGTAGGGCATTCAGCCCCTTAAACTTGCTCTACTCTTTTTTTAAATAAGGTAATGGCTGATCTGATTTGTAACTTTAAATCTATGTTCCTGTCTATCCAGATAACCTTTCAGTTCCATACTTAAGAACTTATCCACCTTTGCCTTAAAAATAATTAACCACCACCTTTTTAGGAAGAAAGTTCCAAAGGCACTCAACCCTCTTAGAGAAAATATTTTGCCTAATGTTTGTTTGAAATCTGTGATCGAGATTCTTTGAGGAACCATCCTCTTCCTATCTACCTGGCAAGCCCTTTTGAATTTTGTTTCAATCAAGTCTGTCTAGTCAGAAGCGCAGACCCACGTTTCTGCAGCAGGCAATGAGACATCAGAATGGTGTGTTGCTTC